ACAAATGTCTGAATGAGGTTGCATATATATAAAAATAAAATAAATGAATAAAAATATCAAACCAATTGGCTTCTGAAAACAAATGATACTAAATCTTTTTTTCAGAATTAACTTCACCTTTTTGAGTCTTTAGCAATGGTGATTTTTGATTAAGGTGATTTTTAGTGGATGTATCACGTTAATCATGAAAATGGTCTACTAATATTTAACACCCAGAAGGTATCCAGATATAAAAATAAAATAACATTCCAAACGTTTTTTTGCTTGTGGTTGCCATACTAAAAATAAATGTATAAATAAATATAATATGAAACAAAATAAATAATGGTTTGATATGTTTTATTATAGAATGCATTATCATTCATGCATAATGTTGCATAAAGTGTTCAGATACTTATATTTAATTTGAGTTTGTGGTACTCTATTAATATTTTATTTTTATTTATTTTTGAAGACTGTCAAACTTTATTTTTTATTTTGTGAAAAATGTATTTATACAAAACAAATGCTGCTAAATACTTATTTAGCTTGCACTTAAGTCTTTTTTTGTTTTGTGTTTTGTTTTGTTTTGTTTTGTGACCAGAAATAAGCAAAGTATTTTGCATGGTAGAATGCACAGCTCTCTTTCTTACTGTATTCACAGGACAGTATTTGGGGGTGTTGGTTTTGTCAAGGTCATACAGCACTTTATCTGAGCCAGTTTTCCATGGGAACTGCCATAATCCAATTAACATGGCTTGCAGGGCAACAGACATGAACAGATGTACACAATATGGATATGTGCCATAATATTGCTCATTGCTCAACACTACAGAGCATTTAATTTTTTTGAAGGTTGCCTTCAAAATTGCAAAGAATAGTTAAGATACTTTGTACTGGGAGAGTCATACTTAGCATTCAGAAAACAAGAGTGGAGCAGTGAAAGTGTATCTCTCGCTCAGGGCTTGTGTATGTGACGGGATTTCATTAGTTTCATTATTTGCAGTCTTTAAAAAGCGTGAGACACCTCTAACATTCATTAACCCTGGAGAGGAGCAGAGACCTCAGTGTTTCATCACATTCTGGTCCTTGCACCAACCTCTTACTTCACATATCATTTCTCAAGCTTAAAAGCAATGTGTGCTTTATTTCATGCAGTGGTTTGCTGCTACAGGAGAGCGAGCGATTCTCCGAGGCTCTGCATTACTACAAACTGGCCATCGGGAGCAGACCGACACTGGCCTGTGAGTTCAGCTCTTCAGTTTCACCATTTTGAACCTCCAAAGAGTCTGTTACTGGAATAAATGTCTGTTTTCAGGCTTTCATTTTACAAGTATGTGCAATTTTGTCTCTTTTTTTAATTAGTTCTCCCTTTTGTCCTCTTGCACAGCTGCATACTTGAACGTGGGCATCATCCAGGTCTCGCAGGGGAATATCGAAGAGGCCAAGCGCACCTTTCACACTTGCGCTGACATCCCAGATGAGAACCTGAAGGACCCTCATGCCCACAAGAGCTCCGTCACCAGCTGCTTGTACAACCTCGGCAAACTGCTTCATGAGCAGGGCCAGCACGAGGTATTCATCGAAATCTGCATGCATTATCAGTTTAGATGGATGCAATGATGTTCTTGTATGAATTGTTCCCTGGTTGTTCTTAATTAACAGTTCTCATTGTCACATTATGACAGGTTGTTTTTGTTTGTCGTCCTCAGGAGGCGCTGTCCATGTATAAAGAGGCTGTGCAAAAAATGCCACGACAGTTTGCACCGCAGAGTTTGTACAATATGATGGGTCAGTGTTTATTTCTCAGTGCATTCAGATGTTTTTATTTGAGATTCAAAAACACTCTAAATAAATTATTTGCATTTACATTTAGCAGATGTTTTTATCTAAAGCGACTTACAAATGAGGACAATATAAGCAATCAAAACCAACA